CAATGTCCCACTGTCTGGCTACTTGCATAAAGTCAAGTGCTCGGCGCAGTTGTCGGCGAAATGTCGCTCCTCTGTTTTCATTTAAACAGCTGTTAGAAATTAAAATCAATGTTTTATGGCATAATTTAGTTAGAATATACCGTCAGTTTAAATGCTATTTTATTCTGGAAAAAAACGGAAGTTCTCAATAACAAGCTTTTACTCTGAAAATCCTTCATGACGACATCCGGGATTACCGTCCATTAGTATCATTAAAGTGGCTATTGACGCCGTTAACATGTATTAAATATAAAGTTATGAAAGTGATAAGGAGGAGAAAGGGCATGTAGAAGTAAGCAATGAATGTAAAATGTCGAAATCCTCCGTTTAACGGAATATCGGACACAGAAGAACGAGGGGGAAGTCTCCCACGTCACCACAGCCCCTAGAGAGGAGGAGCAAACAGCCAGCAAGCGGGAAGGAGGAATACTTGTGGGGTCTCTTGATCTCGGCCGGCCACTGCGAGAGGAAGCTGCAGCCTTTCTCGCCTCACTGAAAATATTCTGCTTGTAACATAAGCGCGCCTTTTTTAATTAAAGTACCCATTTGAACATTCTCAGAAACTCCATTTAGTCTCCTTTTTAAAGCTTCTCTCCTGGACGCAGGAATAACGAACACAGTTCCTTATATCCGTTAGCGCAGCTAGCTAGCACCTGATGCTAACAACAACAATACACGTAAGGTCTCTCTCAGTCAGGGCCTGCCTGTGAGCGTGGAAGTGTGTTCTGCCGCAAGCGGACGGCAGGAGCGGGGCTGTCAGCATCAGCTTGTTGATGGTATTTTACTCGATGCGCTCTGATACTAGGGGGCGGCCGAGGACAAAAAGTACACATGCGTTAATCGCGTTAAAATAATTTGTGGCGTTATTTTATTATAATTTGTATATATTTGGCTTTTTAATGGCTCTTTATAAATGTATTTAAATATAAATTGTATAATTGCTTTCTTGTTTCTGCTCTGTGTGCAGACTCACCAGAGTTCTGGAGGATTTCTGCACGAAGGGGAAGTTCTCCTGCAGGATGGGCATCAGGAAGCGACTGGTGCTGAGAGCAGAGGACACACCTTCACATTAGAAATCAGACCCCCCGGGCAGGACAGGAGTTGTTGTGAAGCCCTGACCATGCATAGTAATACATGATTTCATTATATACAGTACCAGTCAAAGGTTTGGAGACACCTTCTCATTCAATATTTTTTGTTTTCTACTTTGTAGATTAATACTGAAGACATCATAACTATGAAAGAACACATATGGAATGATCTAACAAAAAAGTGTACAAAAAAATCCAGAATATGATTTTTATTAAAATAAATAAAAACCTTTGATTGAGAAGGTGTGTCCACACGTTTGACTGGTAGTGTTATGCTAAGGTAGATCATTTGAATAGATCCTGCCTACGGTCCTCTAGCTGTGTCTCCCCGTCTTCTCTCAATCAAAAAAGAGTTACATTTCACTGTCCCTCCTGGCTTCCTTAAAGTCAAGATAGTGGGAAGATAACATCCTGGGACTTATTCACATCACATCTTGCCTATCTTAGTGGATATGGAACCAGTCTGCTCATACTCCAGTTCAAGATAAGTCCAAACTTTTCTTTAGATGTTAGTTTTCATTTTTCCAGAGCAGAACGTTGAAGCATGGATAAACCACAGATTCAATGTAAGTGTTCGGCGCATAGAAAAGTATTCATATAAATCCTTATAGGAATCACATATTCCTAGACGGACTGTAAAATATGCCTCTTTCAGGTATAGACTAATATGTTTCATTTTTTAAATGTTGAAATAATGCAGTGATAAGTCATCTGGCTGGTTTTAGATAACATTTGTTATGGGAAGTTCAGAGCTGGTTCATTATGGTTCCTGCACACACTAAAGCCCAATCTTTAGTTCAGGTGGGTAAACGAGTGACAGGAAGAGAAAACTGAATCATGAGTGACTTACGATGGAACGTATCTGGTGATGAGCTGCAGCGCCTGGTGACACTGATCAAAGTTCCTGGGGAGGTCTGAACAAATCACAGCAGCAGAGGAGACGGTCCGTTTAACATCAGTCCATCATCTGTAGTTACCATATTCCCACTCATCATGCCCGCACAGCCTGCCTAAACTTTGAAGCAGCAATAAGACCATCACACGCCTCGGCCAGATGTTGAGATCCGACCAGATGTCTTCTGTTTTACCTTCACAGCCGGTGTGAGGGCGATGATGCACAGATGAGGACTGCTTTAGATCGCTATGTGAATATGTGATTACTGTATCATCTCTGAAGTAATCAACCCAAAAAAAATCCTCAATTTGTGTGATGGATCAAATTAAATGAGTTGTATTTTTTTCATCTTTCTTTAAGAATATAAGCAGTAGCAGATATATATATTGCAGTTAGCAGTAGAGCAAAGAGTTGTTTGCCTCAATGAAAAAAAAAAAAAAAGTCTAAACAGCAACAAATACCTATTGAAGCAGGTTATTTGGTATAATAAAAACATGTTTGTAAATTATTTTGAAATTTTATAATAAATGTTGACTGAACAATGCACCAGTCACAGTCATAACAACATCCTACACAGCCACCACTGATTACTAATAGTATATTTATAATATACTATCTGGTTTAAGCAATAAAAGGAGCTTTCAATGTGAATATAATGAACAGAGGTTTGAATCTACAAACGATCAGCCCTCTGAGATATGCGATATCTCTAAGAATGTGAGTTTGTTATATTATAACATACTCACATTCTCATAGTACGTTTTTCATGCTAACATTTAGCTATTGACATTCCACGTGGAAAATTAAGGATGACACCTACTTTCATCATCATCGTCTGAGTCAGAGATATCCACCCCGCCTTCACAGATGGTCACTCTCTCTGGAAACAAGAACACATGTTACATCTCCACTGAAGCTGGTTTACAGGACATACAGGACACAGCAACTCTGCACTCTGCTTTCAAACAGAAATGTAAACACTGCAAACATAACATGAGGACCAGACCAGGAGAAAACCAACATTATGTCACTACTTTGACAGAGTGAGAGCTTGAATCCCATTTTTGTATTCTATCAATATTTAGATTTTTGATAAGCAGTGAGAAGGACTTACTGGGGCTGAAGTGTGAGACCACCATCTTGAGGCAGGCACACAGGTACACAGTCTGAGCCGACACCAGGTTACTGAGAAAGGCCATGTACTCCTCCACCACTGCCTGGCTGCGGCCCACCCAGGGGAGCCTCTGGAAACACAAGGCGATAAATCCAAAGTCAAAATTGGTGCTCATTCATTTTTACATCCAACCCACTCCTCTGTGCATGTAGCCATTAGGCTGCAGAACTAACTGACCCCCACACTCATTTAACAATGTCTTAACACTGTGTAAACAGTTTGACATAATTATATTGTTCTTAATTTATATATATATATAAATATATATATATATATACAAAGCGTTGGGTGTAACGTGTTACAAAAGTAACGGAGTTACAGTAATATCTTACTTTTTGCTGTTACATTACTTATGAAATGTGGGTAATATATTACCCGTTACATTTTAACCCGAAATTAAATGGTGTTTTGTTTTTTAAGAATGTACTAACATAGCGAGACATTCCGACACCAGACAAATTGTGTGGGTAGATTAGTAAACCTGGTGTGTATACCCTTCAGGCTTAGCGTCGGGATCTTAGGGGCAGTTGAATGTTATGCACCCTCTATTCAAAAAAGAGAACGGAGCGAAAAATACAAACAACAAATTGTGTCAGGTGCGCGTGACCTGCTCCGCTGCCCGTTCATAATTTCCAAAGTGCTACAGCAACACTGCATCTACTGCAGACAGTAGCAACAGGTTAGATGGGGACATCACGTTGTTACCCTCCGTTGTGGACACTAGCTTACTCCCGCCTGACTCGCCGCCCTCGCCCCCGGAGCAGCAGTCTTCGTCGCCCGAAACTACGCCGCCACTCTGCGGCCCGCAGGTGCCAGGATACCACGGCAAAACAGAGCCTGCCCAGGTATATCTAAACAAGTACCCGTCTGTACAGAGTGGGGTTAGGCGGTCATTTTGCAGCTCGTGGTATACAAATAGACAATGGCTAGAATATTAATGTAAAAAGAGTGCCATATTCTGCCATGCCTGTAGAAATGTTGGGTCAAATATAATGCATACAATAGCACAGATGCCTTAACCACGAATGGTTACAAAACTATCTCATATCCCAAGCTTATCAACAAGCTAATGTTGCAGCTGAAATGTTCTCCAGGT